CAGCACATGCAAAAGATTGAAAATTGGCCATTCTTTTTCCCACACGCCCAAAATAAACTCAAAATGGATCAAAGACCTAAGATTAGGCCTGAGACAATAAGTCTTTTGGAAGAGAATATAGGCAGTACACTCTTTGACATCAGTTTCAAAAGAATCTTTTCAGACACTGTAACTCCTCAGTTGAGGGAAACAATAGAAAGAATAAACAAATGGGACTTCATCAGACTAAAGAGCTTCTTCAAGGCAAGGGAAAACAGGATTGAAACAAAAAAACAGCTCACTAATTGGGAAAAAATATTTACAAGCCACTTATCCGACAAAGGGTTAATCTCCATAATATACAAAGAACTCACACTGCTTAACAACAAAAAAACAAACAACCCGATCAAAAAATGGGCAGAGGACATGAACAGACATTTCTCAAAAGAAGATATGAATATGGCCAATAGACACATGAAAAGATGTTCATCATCGCTAATCATCAGGGAAATGCAAATCAAAACTACACTAAGATATCACCTTACCCCCGTTAGATTGGCAAAAACATCCAAAACCAAGAACGACAAATGTTGGAGGGGTTGTGGAGAAAGAGGAACCCTCATACACTGTTGGTGGGAATGCAAACTGGTACAGCCACTATGGAAAACAGTATGGAGATTTCTCAAAAAGTTAAAAATAGAAATACCCTATGACCCAGCCATCCCATTACTGGGTATCTATCCTAAGAACCTGATATCAGATATCTCAAGAGTCCGTTGCACCCCTATGTTCATTGCAGCATTATTTACAATAGCCAAGACGTGGAACCAGCCTACATGCCCAGAAACTAATGATTGGATAAAGAAGATGTGGTATATATACACAATGGAATACTACTCAGCCATAAAAAAAGACGAAATTGGCCCATTCACAACAATGTGGATGGACCTCGAGGGTATTATGTTAAGCGAAATAAGTCAGTCAGAGAAAGACGAACTCTATATGACTCCACTCATAGGTGGAAATTAGTATATTGAGAAGGAGATCTGATTGGTGGTTACCAGGGAAAAGGGGGGGTGGGGGGAGGGTACGGAGGGGGAAGTGGTGTACCCACAACATGACTAACAAAAATGTACAACTGAAATCTCACAAGGTTGTAATCTATCATAACATTAATAAAAAAAAAAAAAAAAAAAATTAAAAAAAAAAAAAAAAAAAAAAATAATTAACCGATGGAACAGAACTGAGATTCCTGGGGGAAAAAGAAAAACAACTTACGTTTTTGGTCAATCGATTTTCAACAAAGGTGCCAAAGCAATTCAGTGAGGAAAAGATATTCTTTCCTTTCCACAAATGCAAATGGTGAATTTAGACCCTTACCTCACACAATACATAAAAGTTAACTCAAAACAGATCATAGACCTAAATGTAAGATCTAAAACTACAAGACAGAAAAAAACATAGGAAAAAATCTTCATGGCCCTGGCTTAGTCAAAGACTTGTTAGCTATGACAACACACAAACAATTTCTAAATGAAAAAATTAATAAACTGTATTTCATCAAAATTAAAACCTTTTTTACTTCAAAAAGACACCACTAAGGAAAGGAAAAAGGTAAGCATTTCACCAAAGATACACAAATGGCTGATAAGCACATGAAAAGATGCCAAACATCATTAGTCATTAGGGGAAATGCAAATTAAAACCAAAGTAAGATACTATTACATATTGACTAGAATGAAAAAGATTTGAAAATTGACCATTCTTTTTCTCCACACACCAAAATAAACTCAAAATGGATCAAAGACCTAAAGATTAGGCCTGAGACAATAAGTTTTTGGAAGAGAATATAGGCAGTACACTCTTTGTGACATCAGTTTCCAAAGAATCTTTTCAGACACTGTAACTCCTCAGTTGAGGGAAACAATAGAAAGAATAAACAATGGGACTTCATCAGACTAAAGAGCTTCTTCAAGGCAAGGGAAACAGGATTGGAAACAAAAAAACAGCTCACTAATTGGGAAAAAATATTTACAAGCCACTTATCCGACAAAGGGTTAATCTCCATAATATACAAAGAACTCACACTGCTTAACAACAAAAAACAAACAACCCGATCAAAAAATGGCAGAGGACATGAACAGACATTTCTCTCAAAAGAAGATATGAATATGGCCAATAGACACATGAAAAGATGTTCATCATCGCTAATCATCAGGGAAATGCAAATCAAAACTACACTAAGATATCACCTTACCCCGTTAGATTGGCAAAACATCCAAAACCAAGAACGACAAATGTTGGAGGGTTGTGGAGAAAAGGAAACCCTCATACACTGTTTGGTGGGAATGCAAACTGGTACAGCCACTATGGAAAACAGTATGGAGATTTCTCAAAAAGTTAAAAATAGAAATACCCTATGACCCAGCCATCCATTATGGGTATCTATCCTAAGAACCTGATATCAGATATCTCAAGAGTCCGTTGCACCCCTATGTTCATTGCAGCATTATTTACAATAGCCAAGACGTGGAACCAGCCTACATGCCCAGAAACTAATGATTGGATAAAGAAGATGTGGTATATATACACAATGGAATATACTCAGCCATAAAAAAGACGAAATTGGCCCATTCACAACATGTGGAGGACCTCGAGGGTATTATGTTAAGCGAAATAAGTCAGTCAGAGAAAGACGAACTCTATATGACTCCACTCATAGGTGGAAATTAGTATATTGAGAAGGAGATCTGATTGGTGGTTACCAGGGAAAAGGGGGGGTGGGGGGAGGGTACGGAGGGAAGGGGGGTGGCGGGAGTGGTGTACCCACAACATGACTAACAAATATGTAGCAACTGAAATCTCACAAGGTTGTAATCTATCATAACATTAATAAAAAAAAAAAAAAAAAAATTAAAAAAAAAAAAAAAAAAAATAATTACGATGGAACAGAACTGAGATCTCTGGGGGAAAAGAAAAACAACTTACGTTTTTGGTCAATCGATTTTCAACAAAGGTGCCAAACGCAATTCAGTGAGGAAAAGATATTCTTTCCTTTCCATCAATGCAAATGGTGAATTTAGACCCATACCTCACACAATACATAAAAGTTAACTCAAAACAGATCATAGACCTAAATGTAAGATCTCTAAAACTACAAGACAGAAAAAACATAGGAAAGAATCTTCATGGCCCTGGCTTAGTCAAAGACGTTGTTAGCGTATGACAACACACAACAATTTCTAAATGAAAAAATTAATAAACTGTATTTCATGCAAATTAAAACCTTTTTTTACTTCAAAATGACACCACTAAGGAAAGGAAAAAGGTAAGCATTTCACCAAAGATACACAAATGGCTGATAAGCACATGAAAAGATGCCAACATCATTAGTCCATCTAGGGAAATGCAAAATAAAACCAAAGTAAGATACTATTACGATATTGACTAGAATGGCATATATTTTAAAAGACTGACTTTACCAAGTGTTGTCAAGGTATGCTGCAACTGGAAACTCTCATACACTGCTGATGCGATGTAAATGGTACAAATCACTTTTAGAAAACAGTTTGTCAGTTTTCTTAAAATTTAATCATATACCTACCATATGACCCAGCCATTCACTCATAGATATTTCCCCAAGAGAAATGAAAGCATATGTATAAACAAAGCTTACTATATGAACTTTCATAGCAGCTTTATTTGGAATAGCCAAAACTTTGGAGAAAAAAGCCAAATGGTCATCAACAGATGAATAAACTGTGCTATGCCATACAATGGAATACTACTCAGCAATAAAAAGGAATGAACCATTCATAATACACAGACCAACGACATAGGATTGAATCTCAAATTATGCTAGGTCAAAGAAGCTAACCAAAACAAGGAGAACATACTGTATTACTGCAATTTATAACCATAAAATTCTAGAAATACAAACTAATCAACAGTGATAGAAAGCAGATCAGGCAGTTGCCTTGGGATGGGAGTAAGGATGTAAAGTAGCAGAGGAAAGGATTAACAAAGGTGCCCAAAGAAACTACTGGGGATGATGAATGGTCATTTATTTTTGACATACGTCAGAACTTACCAAATAGTGCACATTTTAGATAAGTTCAGTTTATGGTATGTTGATTATACATTAATAAAGTGTGAAAAAAAATAGACCTAAGGACAAAGAGGAAACAAAAGAACTGTTATATGGCTATTACAATTCTAGGCAAGAGGCAGTGTGGCTTAGACTGAAATGGAACCTATAGAGATGGAGACATGAGTAGATAACTTTAAAGTTTATTAGAATACAGAATTGACAATACTTTGTGAAACAGATATTGGGAGTTGAAGGAAAGGAAGAATCAGGTACAACTTTTTTTTGGCTTAAGCAACTGAGTGAATAGTGTGCCATTTACTAAAATGAGGAAGACTGAGACAGAATTACAGAGTCAAAGTTTCTCACTATGATTTACCAAGAGTGATTCAAACTGGTTTTAGCAAGTTTAATGTCTTTTAAAACAACGAACCAGAGTTTTAAATACAGACACCTAGAAAATAAAAAATGGGGCACTGATCAACTACCATAAATATGAAAAAAATTATTATGTTATGATAAAGAAAAAGAAAGTAGTAATTCATAAAACAGGATATAAACAGATGCAAAACACCTTGGCCCAAAATATTTTTTAAAATAAATAAATGAAAGGTAGATATGTACATCAGAAAATCGTTACTTATAACTACTTTAATTAAATGCTACATTTTACTTACAGTGTTTTTTTTTCCTTAGAAAGTTTTACTTAGGTCTGTTTACGTTTCTAACTAAAAATACTTCTGTCCCAGTAAAATCAAAATTAATAACTCAAAGAAAGCATGCTACAGGTGTCTTTATTTCCTTCAACATCTTTGCTTACCTGTTTAATCTTTCAAAATAATGTTCCAAATTGTGCTTGTTTTATATGATGGACTGAAAGCATCTTGATTTTTGTTAATTTGAAATCACGGAATTAGAATAATTAACATTACTGAGCTGAAAAAAAAAGGAAGAACCTGCCGAAAGGGTAAATGTACATATATACAATTTAAATAATTTACCGTAAAACCTCATTTAAGTGACATCTATAGTTTAAAAACGTACCTTTTAGTCTAAAGAAAGAGTGTCCTTATTGAAAACAAAATAATACTGTTCTATAATGAAGCAGTGTCAGTATTTGAATGACTGCTAAATAACAGGGTTGATCTATGGTGAGGCTAACCATTTTCTCAGAGGTAAAAAAAGATTAAAAAAAAAAGACCCGAACACCAAAATCTTGAGTAAATAAAAGTTAATATCGCTGACAGAAATAATGATTTCTCCCAAGGAAACAACTGTTACTTAATCTCAGTTCCTCCATTTACTAAGTAATTTTAGACTGCTACTTTAATCTTTTTTTTGAAAAAAGATTTTATCTTTCTTCTTTCTCCCAAAACCTCCCGGTAACATAGTTGTGTATTTTTAGTTGTGGTCCTTCTAGTTGTGGCATGTGGGACACCGACTTAGCATGGCCTGACGAGCTGTGCCATGTCCACGTCCAGGATTCGAACCGGCAAAACCCTGGGCCGCCGTAGTGGAGCGCGTGAACCTTAACCACTCGGCCACAGGGCCAGGCCCTGCTACTTTAATCTTCTCTGAATATCGCTACCACTGAGTGCAAAACGAGGGAAAGTATGGGAAAGACTCTTGTGAAAAGCAGATGTGATAACCCATTTGTTAATGAGGAAGGTACCATATAAAGATATTATAATGGCCCAACACTAATCTATCCAGCAATAATAATTCATATCTGTAGTATATTTTATGTATAAGCCCATGAAACACAGAACGAGACGTCCAATAGACAAGCAATGACAGAAAGAGTCAGAAAAAAAAGACGTGCAGAGCAAAAAGGAGATACTAAAAGTCTTTTTTAAAAAAG